TTTATTTATTTATTTATTTATTTATTTATTTATTTATTTATTTATTTTACATTGTAAACTTACAGCTAAATAGCCAACACGATTACAAGTCAAAAACACAAAGTCAATAAAAATTAGGTTAAATCAAAAATAAAAAATTAAATCAAAAATAAAATTAAAAATTAAATTAATATTCTAAAAATTTACAAAATTCTCTATAAATAAAAGCAAAGCTATCAGCGAATAAATCGATATGGTCATATTGAGTGAGCAAGTCTCCGATCAGGCGTATTGCGCGAACGGTAGGCGCGTTCGAAGCGTGTACCGTGCGAGTGACGGGCTTGTGTAAAAGCCGCGGCCTACGGCGCGGCGCCACTGCACCCTCATCACCCCAAGGCACACGCACAGGTACCAGCAAGTCTACCTTGGACATAATGTTATTATCCACCTTATGATGAAACGCAGCAATGTAGTGAGCCAGTAGAAGCATCTTACGCCTACGAGACAAAGTGTCTAATCCCACCATGCCCGCAACGAAGTATGATGGATACAGGTATGGGTAATACCCGTACTGCCGTCTATAGAGCCATCGTGCATATTTACGCTGAACACGTTCAACCATAATAGAGTATTTGGCTTCATGAGGATCCCAAACTATTGCTGCATATTCCAGTTTGCTGCGTACGTAGGCGTTATATAACACCTTCGCCACAGCCACGTCATTGAACTCATAGGAGGTCCGTAAAATAAAGCCTAAAATACTATTCGCCTTTTTGCAGGTTGTTGTCACATGTAAATGAAAGTCCAATCTACTATCCAATGTTACTCCTAAGTCACAAAAAACAAACTCTATCTATACAGGCGTCAAATAATTTATACTGTGTCAATCTTGGGCAGTGCTTGCGGGTGTAAGTAATAACTTTACATTTCGTATTATTAAAAGGCATACGATTTGCTAGACTCCACTCCGACACCGCATCAATATCCGCTTGCAAGGCAGTTGTATCTGCAATATCATTCACGCCTAAGAACAGCTTGAGATCATCGGCAAAAAGAAGACATCGAGCAGTACCTATAACCTGAGGTAAATCGTTTACCATTAGCAAAAATAGAGTCGGACCCAGAGTACTCCCTTGACTCAAGCCAGATCTTGTGTAATACTCTGCATGCGACAGACGTGTCCAACCTAGTCCCATTTCCGCCTGGCAGTCCTTTTCCAAACACTATGCGTGTCTTAGACCGCGTGTGTGATGAATAGTCCTGTTTATTTGTTACTCCATGATATTTACTACGTTCTTAACGCCGTAAGCATCTGTATAACTAGCATAAAAAAATGTAACGTATCTAAATATAATTCCTAATTTGCAAACGCCGAGCATTATCAACCCTTTCCGAAAGTACCGCGCATAAATCTTCTCGCTGCATCAGACGGGGTGACCAGCTATCTAACTAAACGCTGGACATAAAACTGTCACCGATATATCTATTTAATATATGGACTAGACACCTGCACAAAGATACAATAAAATGCGCTACTTTTTCTCATGTATTTACACACTACTGACGCAAGATTCGTAATGTTTTTGTTTTATTTCTTGTCTTTGTTTAAATCCGTTCAAACACCATATTTGGCTCCCGCGCATTTTGTCGGGTAACAATATAATTTGTTTAATGAAATTATTATATATTTATTTCGATGTTATACATAACTATGTCAATTAAGTTACAATATCGTAATGCATGATTTGTATTATTGTTTTAAATTTTTGTATTTATTGTGACGAAATATTGAGTGACGTGGATATCTTTAGTTGCTTTTACTTTTTTTTTATGTGTTATCTGTTGGTGTTTCAAATAACAAAAAAAAAAAAATTAATACATTTGCACTACGCATATCTTTTTGCAGGTTTTTGTACATTTGCTAATGCATTTGATTCTTATCGTATGTATTAGCTTAAACGCAAATAGATGGTTACTGGATTTTAAGTAGCAGTAGAGCTCCTTGTGCAAGAGTTCGTCCAGAGAAGTGCTGCCACATTACCTATTTCCGCCCTCAAGCAATAATGTCATCATTACTGTGTTCCGGTTTAGAAGGGTAAGGGTGCTGGTGAAATTACAGGCACATGGGACTTGTCAACTTATGTCTCAGGGTTACGGGCGCAGTGGCAGTGCTTATAAGATCTTTGCGATTTAAAGCTCTGAGTGACACGTGGTCTAACCGTGGCGTTATGATTGAGAGTCGTCTATCTACGAAACGAAGCAAGACACCAAAATCAGTTTGTCATCTTTCAATCCAAGAAACTGCTAATAACTTTAATATTATGCACCTAAATGTTATGGTTTGATCATTTTAATAAAAAATGGACTTGTTGTGGAAAGGTTTAAAAATACTGTTTTTTTTCCTAACTGTGACGAATCGACATCGACAAACAGATGTCCGACAAACAGATTTTTCAAAAACAAAAACAAATTAGTTCCGTGCGAAGTGATCAAATAATTTTGGCGTAAACATTTCAAACTCGACAGTTGCCTGGTATCGATTTCTACTACCCTCGGTTTGTGGTTTGGTACAAGTACAAAAGGGAGCGATGTTAGAACTCTACATTGTAAGTCGTAATATCAGCAAAATTGAGGCAGTTCGATAAAGGTTCTATTTCCTTTTAATTTTGTTAACTAGTGTATGACTAGAGTGCATAAAATCGGTCTTGGTCTTAGGTCTTGTTCTTGCATTTTTGCGAGACCGAAACCAAGACCGAGTGTGCCAGCGTTCAGCACTAAGTTCAACACGAGAGCATAGAGCTGAGACATATTGCATAGAGCAGCACTATTGTTGACGTTTTACTTTGTGAAAATCTTTATAATTAAAAGTTATCTAGCCCTCAACTGTCTGCCATAAACTGAAAAGAACAAGCAAGCTGCAGATGGCCGCTATTGAAAGCCGTTGCCTGCACGCAAAAAGAAGCCTGGCCGAAAATTCAGAACGGTGGTGAGTTCTGCGAGGCGTTCAAGGGTACATTGCGCGCAAACGTGTGTCTTGTGTTGGATACGTCCAACATAAGACACAGTGTACGCGCAAACTATTAACGCTCCACTGAAAGGACCACAGTTGCGAATTTGTAGCTTTAAGGTGGTAAGGCGTCTAACTTTGCAAACAGGTACGGATTGATGGAGACCACAAGGCTGACAGCTATTTCCACATGTTTAGCCATCCAAAAGAAGCCAGTCTCCCGGGATTTTTTTTATGTACTATGACACACTGTTTGATTTGTTTGTTTCTACAATGCGCTTATTCTGTATTTTATAAATCGATATTCGTCATCGATAATATAAATAAAGTCAATCTCCTAACCGTACCAGATAACCACGTTAATGCCTTATGTCAAACTTACGAATTTCTTTATTAACTACGCTTGTGTATAAAGAGACCGATAAGGGGAAAGAGGTTTGACAATAGCGTAGCTAGTGAAGGTCCATGGTCTGTGTCTACACTAGTGAGAAACAGGCGTGTTGATTTGTAAGGGAATTATTTGGTTAAAACATATTTTGGATTAAGTTTTAGAACAAAAATAATCAATTAAGGCCGATGAAGGAACCAACAGAGTTTCCGGCTAACGCTTGTAAATAACACCACAACTCTATAGCACCCTACAAAAACAAGGGTGGATTTGCAGAATTAAATAAAAAAGTGCACCTTACTGGACATCGAAATGGCGTCAATCGGGTTTTTCGGAGACAGCGATTTTTCCTAATAGCATAGTATTATTTGGGACTATAGTTATTTGAAGAAAAAGGGAATGGAGGGGATGAGATCACTTTTTGAAAGATTGTTTTGATAGAGATCGTAGGGAAGTCGTGACAGTTTTTTGGGGATAAAATATTTGAAGAGGAGAACAAATTACGAATAATAAGGACCACATAAAAGATGACTCACAATGTGATGTGCTCGATGACTGGGGTGAACCAAACTATTATCAACACCGGGCAACTTATCAGCAGTGGTCGGATAATATGTTAATAAAATTTATGTGTATATACATTTAGCAGCAATGGAGATCCTTGTGAAAGTGTTCGTAAGTACTGCCACATCTCCTATTTCTACCGCCAAGCAGTAATTTTTTATTTATTTATTGGGCTCAACAAACAGTAGAGGCGAGGCGTCCAACGAATATTTCTCCAGGCCCGAGAGTCGAACCTGAGACCTCAGCGTGGCAGTCCGGTATGGTAACCGTTCGGCCACAGAGGCAGTTAAAATACTATTATAGATTATATACGCCATGTTTGCCACTCTTTTTTTCTATTTGATTTTGTATTAAAATACGGCAGACGAGAAAAGAACGATCCTGAATACGATAGAATATAGACGCGGGAAAATGATTGGACATTTGATACGACACGACAACTTCTTTAAGACCATTTTAGAGGGAAAAATCGAAGGTAAGAGGGGAAGAGGTCGACCTAGGCGCAGCTACATAGACCAAATAAAGGAACAAGGACTACGAAGGAAAGAAGACAAGAGCATAACTCTTAATTTTTTCATAATTCTTAAATAGTTACATATTTGTTTACTGTACTTTTAAAAAGAGGAAGAGTCGGTAGTGCACTAACACTGGGTATATCTAGCTTGAGTTTCTGTCTCCTGTAAATTTTGCATATTTGTAGATTCTGAGACGTAATATCAAAATAATTGGTTGCTGGAACAGAGCACATCCCCATTCCACTTTAGTAGATAACGGACCTTGTAAACTTGCATCATATCACTACCCGAGATACACAATTATGGATCGCCGGTCAATAAGGTAAATAGTCTTATTTACTAATTATAATCATCAAATAAAGTACATAAGGGGGAACGCCCTTCGTAGGGAGAGCCATCAAGTGTTTGTTTAACAGAAAACGACCAACAGTCGGCTGGTTAAATTATGACAGACGAAATCGATTTGTTTTTAATTTTAACTGCCGCTTACATATAATAATAATGAGCCAAACCTCCACAACAATTACCTGGCCTCCAACTAGGGAATTCCTCTACTACTACTATTGTAACTATAGTGAAAAAATAGGGTGGTTTGCATTAATATTAGACGTAACTGGTTGAAGACTGTACCACCTCAGTCAACCGTGACCATGGGACCTGTAAAGGGCCCGAAACGTCGGTTTGCTTGAAAAAACAAACATACGCGATTTAAATCCGGAAAAATAGTTTCATTTCCTATAGGGAATTCCTGTTCGTCAAATTTATATGGGACTACATCTGAGGTAAGTTATTTCCAACAAAACAAGAATCCTCAAAATCGGTTTACAAATTAGAGTTCTCGAATTGAGAACCTCTTCCTTTTTTTTAGTCGGTTAAAAAGAAATAAGCGGTAATACAATGGGCGGTCTAATGTTTTGAGCGATTTCTGCCAGACAACTTTTGGATGGAAGTAATTGTAACTCATAGGAAAAGACGGCGATGTATCAAGATTTAGTCATCGATAGACAGAAAATCAAAATTATTACGTATATCATTCATTATATATTACATATAACATTTAATAAAACAAATTCATATACATATTTATGAATATCAAAAACTACTATACATTTAGAAAATGGTCAAATTAT